CGATACAAGGAGACAGAATGTGGCATACAAAGATAGAATGTGGCATACAAAGATGGTCCTGAAACAACCACGAGAAAAAAAGGACAAGACCACCTCAACAAGAGCAAAGGATACCTACGAAGAGACAAAAAGAAAAAGGAAGGACCGCCAGGAAACTCCATACTGCCGCCTCGACAAAGCACACAGGTGGGACACCATTAACGCAGCCACCTGATCATCAAACAGGAGGTGATAGACTCAAGTTAAATTTACCAGACGTGAAGACTCAAGGAGAAGACCAAACCAGCCTTGTAATGGACTGGACTGAGCATCTGAAAGAGGCGGAGCCATGGGAAAACCCCTGGTTACGGACACCGAGCAAGCAGCGCCTGAAACCAAGGCTGTCAGGAACCAGATGGAACGTCCGGCAGGGCACCAGGAACCCGAACCCGGCGAGCCAGGAAGAACCAACCTGGGTGAGCAGACACGCCCCCTCCGGAAGGAACCCCCCTGGGACCCCTGAAGGACCAATAAGGCTGATAACAGATGACAACGAGATGGAGCCGCTTGCAGAAACAGCACAACCGCAGACCCCGCAAACAGCAGGGACAAAATGGGGACGAAAACTGAAGAGCCAGGCAGAAGCCAAAGAGGAAGCGAGCACCAAACGAGCCGACACGCGAGATGTGAAGCGAAAACAGTGACACCACATCCTGCAGGAACGGCACAACCATCCCCAGCAGGGTAGAACGACACATGCGCCACCGATGAATGTATGAGAACTACTTAGGACACGTACTGCACGAAAATAAAAAGTCCCGTATGGAAAACTAACACAAAGAAAAAGAAAAGCCAGTAATTCCTAGCTCCCCGTCCCAATGAAAATGAATGGTAGGAGGCAGGACTGAGTGAATGGAATCAACATCTACCTGCAGACATTACAACACAGCAGCCGGTAGTGAGATACAAGAAGAGGAAAGAACTCAGCGCTATAACTGAACACTGGTCAGTTCAAAATCAGGGAACTGAACATGGACACAGTCCAACCTAGCACTATCATTGGTATAGCTAATATGCACATACTGTACTAATATACACAAGAATGTGTAGCATAGAGGTAGGAAATACGTAAATATGCAATGAAAAACTTAAAAATGGCACACATACCGGCAGCTGGAGACAAGAGAGTATTAGCAATATGATGAACTAAAATTGTCTTAGGTAGCAATTGCTAATGTAATGTACAAGAGCAACCATACATATATATATATACAGAGAGATTCCAATGTATGTACAAGGGTGCAGCCAGGCACTGAATGACGGCAAATGAAGGAGTGTCCAGAGTCAACAAAAGATGCAGTCGCTGAAAAAGTAAATCAAAAGTTACCGAAATTCAGGACTATGGCCCACAGTGTAATGAATAACAATATATATGGACATATTATGGTTACATTAAGATGCATGCAAAGTGGCTAATCAACATACCACAAACAATACCAACACTCATCCAAAAATCGAGAACCAGCGCCTGCTTGATGGTGTCGCCAGATCATATAATCTCGCCTATAAGCGTAAGCACTATAGCGGCACGGCAGGTTATCTTAAGATGATTTCGGGGCTTAGCGTCCCAGCAGCCCGGTTCTCGACCAGGCCTCTTTTTGTTACACACCCCCAGGAAGCAGCCCGTAGCAGCTGTCTAACTACCAGGTACCTATTTACTGCTGCCTATTTACGACACAGCATAGCCATGTAATAGTCTGGAAGCATCGCTAGTGGAGTATGTCCTGAATTGTGTGTGCAGTAGGACAAGATGACGTGTAGTGAAGAGCTGGAGGCGGCATCACTTTGAGCCACCTTACACCCATATTCAAAGAAAAGAACTAGGAATTTTCCCTATATATAAAATACAGAACTCCCCCAGTATCTAGGGGGGGCTATGACTGGAGAGATGAGGTTGTGCGACATATTACCCGTGATAAAGGTCACAGAACACCAACACATGATTACACCATCCAGAAACAAAACAATCACCCTCGGGCCATGTCCAGGACACATGAGGTCTGAGCTGGCTCAACTCTCCCGGGAAGGGTAGCCAACAATGTTTATATAACGATTATTATTATTTCTGAGACAGATGACGGAGAGAAGAAGTGATTAGAAAATAAGTAGACATACTGTGGTATAAAAAGGGGTTTAAGTAGTACGGAAGAGGACCAACTAGTCCCAGAAAGGACTGGAGATAATCCTCACCAGAAATCAAGACATTCCAATAATGTGTTAATTAACGAAGTTCGTCTCGAACCTCCGTGACCCTCGATACTTAAGCACAAAATCACAGAGGCACATATGGGCCCATTGGCATATGTGACCAAGAGTCACGCAGGACCCTGATACGATTCTTACATGAGTGATATGTTGTAGAATAATACATGTCCCAGATAAGAATGTTGTGAAAATTACCCAGAGGAACCGATGGACCCGATGGGACACGGAACCGAACCCAGGGAGAGGCCGACACCAAAAATCAACTCGTACATAGAGGGGGGGGAAGGAAAACCCCCACTGAATGTAACAGTAAGCCCCACTCAATGTTGTAGGAAAACCCAGGTGGGGTCCAATGGGGCCCAAGTCCCCAATTCAGGCCCCCCCCCCCAACCCTGGGAACCTCTATACCAGGACCTGGGGCCGAATCGTCCTCCAAAGCCCCGGCCTCAAAAGAAAAAGCCGGGGCAGCTGCAAAACACTAAGGAAGGGGGCCCACTGGTCAGACCCACACGCAATGGCTGTAGGAACCGACTCAAATGCCTCCATCGCGACCCCGGAAGGGGCAACCTCCAAAACTGCCCGAGTCTCAGAATCCTCTAAACCCCACCTCGACCCCAAAGCCCACAGATGCTCCGGTGCCAGAAGCAAGGGGGAGGGGGAACAGAATGAACCACAGCAGGGGAAGAATGAGGGGGTGCGGACTGAACCAAGGCCGAAACGACCAACACTCCCCCATGTCCGGGTCCCTACAAGCAAAGCGAGGCAGTCTTGGGGCATCTGGGGGTGGCAATCACTAGCACGTTGCAGCAACCTAAACCAAGCATGCAACCTCTGAGTCGCCTGTACCCAGATAGTGTCATCAGAGGATTTGGGTGAAGTGAGTCACAAACAAGCAACAATGCTCGCAGGACTCCAGGTCGAAGGTGTCACCGACCCAACAGTCAGCATGACGGAGGCAAAAACAATAAGATGCCCTGAGACAATCTTGAGGTTATCTTGAGATGATTTCGGGGCTTAGCGTCCCCACGGCCCGGTTCTTGATCAAAAAGGAGGCCAAAAAGGCCTCCTTTTTGTTACACCCCCCAGCTGTCTGTAGCAGCTGTCTAACTCCCAGGTACCTTTATACTGCTAGGTAACAGGGGCATCAGGGTGATAGAAACATTTTGCTCATTTATCTCCACTTCCACTGGGGATCGAACCCGGAACCTCCGCGCTATGAATCCGAACAGCTGTCCACTCAGCTGTCAGATGCCCTGGGGGTGCCAAGACAAGGGGACAGAGCAACCCTCAAACAAGTCGAGAGAGGACCCAGGGATCACATTCATTGGACCCCTTGTGCCCCCGCGGGGTTTCCCAGGGCCCTTAGACTGTTATCGCTAAGAGTAAGCCCAGGCAGGGTACTGCTAACTAGTGCCCAAGCCCACCAAACAAACTTCTAAAACTGAACCCTCTGGAAGTGTCCACTCATGGAGGCCAAGCAGCGGGATACCACCGAACACAGGAGGCCAAGATCCTAAGATAACTGGGGTTGGGAATCAAAAGCAGACCCCCTCCCACCAGGCTCAAACAAAAATGAAAAGAGAAACCCCACAAGAGGACAACGTACCCAAGAGGAACAGAACCGGCCACTGTAATAGGTGAAAACTAGCTGTGGATTACCCCGTGCCTCTACCAGTACAAAAACTACCACTTACCCTAAGGTAAACAAGGGAGAAAACCCCCCAACACACTCTGGGTGGTCAATCACTGTGCAGCAAAAGACCAACAGAGGTAGACCCCAAGGTGACCTGTGGAAGATAACTCCAAGCCCTAAGGGCGGTACTTACAGGGCACTCAGGGAAGGGAACCCTAAGAACATGCAGCCCGAGTACCTGAGAATATTACTTCCCGCTCGCATGCCACCGTAAGAGCAGTACTGGACACATGGCATAGCACAACACCGAGAGATTCTGGAGCTGGAGTCACACAACCAAGCCACAATCACATAAGCCGAGAACTGACAGGTGGATAGCCAGTGCGATGGGTCTGGGGCATCCCCTTTCCCTTCCCGGGGAAGGGGGAGCTGCGCAGACAAGCTACACGGCAAGTGTGACGTCATGCTCGTTTGCTCGTTTTTCAATTGTGGAATTCTGTTTCCTTGTTAGTTTTCTGTAATAGTTTTAACCAGATTAGGTGTTTGTTTTGAGGCGCCTACCTTTCTGGGTGCCCAGCCCGGTCGATGGCAGACATAGAATGCGCCATACATATGTGCATTTCTATAGGCCATTGCTCCTCGTGCCTCTCTGAGTGGGCCAGGTTCTGGCTCATGGTCCTGGTAGGCAAGAACTCCATTCACACTGACTGATGCCAAAGTCTAATAATATACATATCGGGTCTGAATTTTACTGATAGAGAGCGATGTTTCAACACTGCGTCCAACGGGATTGGGAGCCAGAGGCAAGTGCACCACCCATTGTTGCTCATTTAGAACTGATCCAGCCAGCAGCCCTAGGGAAATCTAAGAATTTTTTTCAAGATGGCTGCCTCTCACTGCGGGTCCTAGGAGTCCATTTCATCCAAACCCACCGCACGTGCGTTTTGAATGGTACGAAATCTTAAAATCCCGTTTTCTTGGCTTATGCGTTTTCCACCACGAGTATTGTTGGCTGGCGCAGTCCAGTGGTTAAGCATACTGTATTTACAATATATGGCATATTAAAGTACAGTACCTGCAACATTTAAAAAGACATTTGTCATTGTGAAATGTAAGAGTATACCTGGAGGGAGTCGTCAGCAGACGTGTGGTCCTCGGTGGAACCATCACCATGGATGTAGTCCCCGCTAAAGAGCACCTCGCCCATGGTGCTGCATCCAAATGTTGCGCGCGGTCCTCAAACAGCCAGAGTAATTTCTTTTGTCTAAGCGCAGAAATACTGTGTTCAAAATTGTTGCACAACATTCTGATAACATATAATTTCTGCTTATATGTTACATATTTACATTGTTGGAGACAGGAAGCAACTTAGTCACCAGGCGTGGAGTACCAGCATGGATGTAGTCCTAAAACACAGTCTGGCTTATATAGTGGTGCCCATTGTTCCATCATGAATTGTTGTCAACAAGTTCACCTCTCTTTTGCTAACCAACTGCAGTAGCACCATGATGGTCTTCACTACACTCCCCGAGAATCCATGTTCGTCGTTACCGGGAATGTCTACATCACTAGCCGAGTACAGAATCATGTGTAACACGTATCCTGTCTCACAATCACAAAGAACAAAAAATTTCAGGCCAAATCGGTTTCGTCGCCCATGGTTGCCAAAAACACATACATTTCCGCCATCCTCGCTCAGCTGCATCCAAAATAATTTCTTTTGAGAAGTGTTCAAAAACAACATTCTGATAACATATAATTTGCATTGTTGGAGACAGGAAGCCTGAACTTAGTCTTATTAAGGTCCCCCCAGGTCAACAAATGACCTTCCCCAGAATGCAACCCACAACAGTTGACTAACTCCTGGGTATCTAATTTCTGTTATACAGTACCTATACTGCATACCTGTACTATACTGTATTTACATGTCCTTGCAGCCAAGTAGACAGTGCTTGGGAGTTGTAGTCCATAGGGCCTGGGTTTGATTCCTGGCTAAGGCAGAAACAAATGGCCAGAGTCCCTTTAATCTGATGCCTCTGTTCACTTAGCAGTAAATAAGTGCTTGGGAGTTAGAGAGCTGCATATGACTGCATTTTGGGGAAGTGTGTGTTGATGTGTAAGAGAAAAATATATGCAATAGATATGACACAGAAAATTAGGTCAGGAGTCAGTACATTTTAACCTGTCTAACTGAAAGGTTAGAAAGACCCCTCAACCTTTCTAACCGATGGTTAGAAAGGCGGGGTCCAAGAGCTAACAGCTCGATCCTACGGGCATAAATAATAAATACTGCTACATGAACAGAGGTATCAGTTTCCCCATTAGGCCAATTAATTTCAAGCCTAACTTAAGATAATGGGTGAATTGTTTTTAAATAAGTTTTTTTTTTAGTGATTTACCAATTAATAAACACGTTCATGAAACTTGATTCAATATTAATCAACAAAATGCATAATCTACAACCAGCCTCTGCCAGACCAATGCAGTTAAACATCATTCAGCTGTACAGTACTATACTGGAATTATCTAATTTTACATGTTATCTGGAATTAAACATCTGATATTTATGTCGCTTTATATAAGAAAATTAATAACCTAAATCACACTTATATGAAAAGGTGAGTGACGATGCTTTGGCTCATCTTGGATTCTCATCAAGTTGAGTGAACACAACGTGATAACGGTACAGGACGCACCAAAACGTCCTGACTTTCCTTTAACTTCGTATGTGTGTGGAATGGGTTATTTGATTTCAGACATCTTATTGTGACTTATTCTCTGCACATAAGAAAATGATCGTGCTTACCTTGACTATGTGAGTGGGATTAAGATCATCTACGGTGGAGAGTTGGATGTCCTCTGGTTGGATGAGAACATGATGACTGCTACCCTCCACTTTGCTGTCTGCAGTTTCCACTCCTGAAATAATTCTCCCTTAACCTATACACTACTTCAAATACCATTTGCTGCTTAATAATTTAATCTGTTTTGTCGGGAACAGGCAGCCTATATATATGTATGTGTATATTAATATATTTTGGTAGCAGTCTTTCTTGTAAACATATGTTGTTAAATATGACCGAAAAAGTAAGATTAATAATTCTAACACGAATTTTCTCAATATTTCTTATGTTTCTTTTTACTGTCGATGGTAATTGAAAAATCAATTCTCCAAAATTCATTTTTATTTCTAGTTTGACGCGACGCTTGAACGCGTTTCGTAATAACTTATTACATTTTCAAAGACTTTAGTTTACACACACACACAACTGTAACCTGAAAACACTAAACAGAGTTTTATTTAATGCTAACATTGAACAGCTTGTCTTATATACTTGCATTTGGGTGAGGTGATATGTTGTAACAGTTTTGGATGAGGTGAACAAACTTTTGACCAACACAAGACAGAACACAGAACATTGGGTATTAATTGGATAAATGAGAGGGAAGAATGGAAGTAACTGCAAAGGGCCTATTGTCCCATACTTCCTCTTGATGCTTCTATATTGGTACGGTGTCTTGAAGTGGGTAGAATATAGTTGTGCATTAATTGGCTGTTGATTGCTGGTGTTGACTTTTTGATGTGTAGTGCCTCGCAGATGTCAAGTGGCCTGCTATCGCCGTATCTATCGATGATTTCTGTGTTGTTTGTTAAGACTTCTCTGGTGATGGTCTGGTTGTGGGAAGAGATTATATGTTCCTTGATGGAGCCCTGTTACTTATGCATTGTTAATCGCCTGGAAAGAGATGTTGTTGTCTTGCCTATATACTGAGTTCTTTGGGGCTTAGAGTCCCCAAGTGGGCATTTGAAGGCATAGACGACGTTAGTCTCCTTTAACCCTTAAAGTGCGCATCACGTCATATGACGTGCTGGACGTTGTTCCAGTAAACTGCGCATCACGTCATATGATGTGTTGGAGTACTACGCAAGATTTAAACAGCCCGCGGATACACAGGGTTCACCACACCTTCATCAGGGCTCTTGTAAACAGACGCCATTTTTTTAAAAAATCGTGGGCCAAACTCCCGGGTGTTATTGGCCTCAGTATTGAGTGAGCAACCAAGCCTGACGCACGCAGCATGAGCTAACAGCACTGCTGTTCAGCTTGTGACCACAGCATCGCCTAAAAATGCCAAATTATACTTGTTCATGCTATTATGTAGCGATGATATTATTACAGAAGACCCCTGACTGTGATAAAACTGACCAGGGTTCTGATAATAGCAGGATTGTGGTGATATTTAGCACTGTGCGCCATGGAAGGAGGTGTAATGCTGTGGGAGGGAGGGTGGTGGCGATGTCTTTTGACTGTGTGGCCACCTTTTATTGACTGCACTCACCATACCAGCTTAGTGGTTCACTATGGTGAACACAAATGTAGATACTTCCATATAACGTGCGTATAGAGGGTATAAACAGCAAGAGAAGGTTTGGAGCCGCCATTTTGGTGAGGGCGGTGGCGTCGTCTGCACGACGCCACCGTGCAGACGACGGTGTTGTTTACTGGTTACCACGATGGTCTTTGGGCACCATACCAGTTTATTTGTACAAGTATGCTGAATAAAACAAGTAGATATTTATATATAATGTGTGTATATAGCATAATAACACCACACAGTATTGTTGGAGGAGAAATATTAGTGCGTCTGGCCTTGAGGGCGGCCGCCGATCAGCTGACTGTGTGAGTAGCCACATCTCTGTGCCTTTACTCACCATACAAGCTTAGATGTACAGTTATGGTGAACAAAACATGTAGATACTTATATATAACATCTGTATATAAGATATATAGCGTAATAAGACCACACAGTATTGTTGGAGGAGAAATATTAGTGCGTCTGACCTTGAGGGCGGCCGCCGATCAGCTGACTGTGTGAGTAGCCACATCTCTGTGCCTTTACTCACCATACAAGCTTAGATGTACAGTTATGGTGAACAAAACATGTAGATACTTATATATAACGTCTGTATATAGTGAATTAGAGCAAAAACATTATTGTGGGAGGAGAATGAGGGTGAGTCAGATGACTGGAGGGAGGGCGGGAGTGGCTGGCTGGTACACGGCGATCACTCCTCATTACTTTTTGACTCATAATAGCTACTTAGTGGTTCGTTATAGTGAACAAAACATGCAAATACTTATATATAACCTGTGCTTATAGTGTAATAACCGACAAAGTATTTGTTCACTGATTGATGAACATAATTGAATCAATTATAGGCACACCATATTTTTGAGTACACCAACGATTCACTCATTTTATTATATAAATATATCAAACTACACACTATTGAATAATATTACAGCAAAAAAAGTATGAAAAATCAATCAGAGACATTGAAATAATTCGTTAATTATATCTTTGTGGCAACTCTGGCCTGACAGCTTGCGAGCAACAGACCGCCTGGGACGCACGCTGAGTCAGCGCCTATAATTTGCCAGACTTCCCAGCCCTATAGCGGGCAATATATGCCACTTACGATTTTTTTATTATTTTTCCCGTGATCAGTGAACACAAATTAACAGGTTAGAAAGAATAATTTTTTTTTTTTCAAAATGACATGCGCCTGTGGGGATGGCAGGATATTAAACCCCGAGCATGTTAAGGGTTAAGGCCTTCTGCTTTGTGTCTGGAGAGTTTTTCATGAGTAGGTTGGCCGTTTTTTTGGTTTTATAGTAAATTGTCAATTGTAACTTCTGATTTTTGTCTGTAGGGATAACTCTCCTATTAACAATATCTTTCAGGACCCTTTCCTCCATTTTATGAGCTGTGGAAAAGAAGTTCCTGTAAAATACTCTAATAGGGGGGGTACAGGTGTTGTGTTAGTTGACTCTTCAGAGGTTGCATGGCATTTCACCTTCCTTTTTATGTCTTCAACGAAACCATTGGAGAAACCGTTGTTGACTAGGACCTGCCTTACCCTACATATTTCTTCATCGAATTGCTTCCATCCTGAGCTTTGGCTGAGAGCACGGTCGACGTAAGCGTTGACAACACTCTTCTTGTCCCTGTCTGGGCAGTCACTGTTGGCATTGAGGCACATTCCTATGTTTGTTTCCTTGGTGTAGACTGCAGTGTGGACACCTCCGCTCCTTTCCATGACTATTACATCTAGAAAGGGCAGCTTCCCATCCTTCTTCATCTCGTTAGTGAAACAACACAGAATTCCGCTCGAATGCCTCCTTCAGCTCCTACAGACGTCTGACATCAGGTACCTGTGTAAAAATGTTGTCAACATACCTGCAGTATATGGCCGGTTTCAAGTTCATGTCAACTAGGACCTTCTGTTCGATGGTACTCGTGTAGAAGTTTGCAAACAGGACGCCTAGGGGAGAACCCATGGCGACCCCATCTACTTGCTTATACATGTGCCCATCAGGGCTCAAGAAGGGTGCCTTTTTAGTACAAGCTTGGAGTAGTTTCCATAGAATGTTTTCTGGTATGTCAAGAGGAGTACAGGCCGGATCATGATACAATCTGTCCACTATCATCCTGATTGTTTCATCCACAGGTATGTTGGTAAACAGTGATTCTATGTCCAACGAGGCTCTTATCCCTGTGGCCCGTGTTCCCCGCAGTAAGTTAACAAATTCCTTTGGAGACTTCAGGCTGAAAGCACAAGGTACATAAGGAGTCAGCAAGCCGTTGAATCGCTTCGCCAGTCTGTACGTGGGTGTGGGAATCTGGCTGATGATTGGCCGAAGTGGGTTTCCAGGCTTGTGTGTCTTGACATTTCCATACGCATACCCAGGTTTGTATTCCCCAATAATCTTTGACAGGTGGAGTCCGGATTTCTTGGCGTTCACAGTTTTGATCAATCTGTTTACCTTTGCTTTCAATTCGGCTGTAGTGTCCTTCGTTACCCTTTGGAATTTAGTTTGCCACATGTATATGCATGTGTATATAGATATGTGTGTATATGTGCACAGTGGCACCTCGACATATGATTGCCCCTACTTACGATAATTTCGAGTTACGATGTAAATTTCATCGAAAAATGTGACTCGACATCCAATGGTGTCGTCGACTTCCGATATTTGTTGGTACACGTTCGGGTCGACCGAGCGCGTGGTTCCCGGTCACGCGGCTGATCTGCCTCAGTTTACTACAGCTGTCCGCTTAGTGACGATCGTGGCTATAAGAAATTCCGCTTTTGTGGTGATTTTTTGCATTTTGAACATTAAAGTAATTATTATATATCACGCCATGAGTCCCAGGAAAGTCAATGGTAAGACTCAACATATGAAAACCCATGTAAGGATGACCATAGAGCACACGTGAGGAACACAAATGCGAACAAGCCTGAATGATCCCCAGGACTATATGCAACTGAAAACTCACACCCCAGAAGTGACTCGAACCCATACTGCCAGGAGCACTCTGCTGGCGTACAGGATCCCTTAACCGCTCGACCAACACGACCGGACAAAGTGTCCGGTTGTGTTGGTCGAGCGGTTAAGGGATCCTGTATGCCCAACATGACCGGACACCAGCAGAGTGCTCCTGGCAGTATGGGTTTGAGTCACTTCTGGGGTGTGATTTTTCGATATATATATATATATATATATATATATATATATATATATATATATATATATATATATATATATATATATGCGAACAAGCCTGAATGGTCCCCAGGACTATATGCGAATGATATATTGGGGTGTGAGTTTTCATTCATATATATATATATATATATATATATATATATATATATATATATATATAATTATATTATATATATATATATATATATATATATATATATATATATATATATAGATATATATATATATCCTGTTAGCAACCCCAATGTCGGCAACTGGCACGCGTCTCACACCACACGCCCTCCGAATTGCTGTGGCCCTTCGCCTTGCTGCCCCAATCCACACCAGATATAGGTGTATTTGCGG